AGTAAGGAAATAGAAAGTTCTATTATTTATCATGGTATCAGAGCTAGATTGAGTGAGTAGGTAGTGGGTTTTGGTCGAAGTAGGGAGGCGGCGTCGGAAGAGGAAGCGGAGCAGCCACCGGAGTTCTCACGGGCCTCCACGTGGTATCAGAGCCAAAGGGGCAATGATTGGCGCAAGGAGGCGCGTGGCAGCTCCGTTGGCTGCTTTGCATCCTCTGACGGCGTCGTCTCCTTGAGCCGATCAATGCCCACTTGGCTCTGATACCACGTAGAGGCCTGTGAGAACTCCGGTGGCTGCTCCGCTTCCTCCTCCGACGTCGCCTCCCTACTTATAAATTTATAAATTATCAAAAGAATGGTTACTCTTTCAAAAATTTATAAATTTATAAATATCAATACAAAATGCTAAATAGGACAAATACATTCTGATCAAAACTCAATTGAATTAGTTTCATTCGGTCTGACTGGTTGACTAGCATGTCCGACTAATTGATTGGGCATCAATGCTGGGTATCCATCACTAGTCTCTCACTTTCATGTGCCTAGTATAACCTAAATATCAGTACAATATGCAAAATAAGACAACAAAAATCCGACCAAAACTTTATTAAATTAATTTCATTCAACGAACCCTAATTATCAGGATAGTATGCTAATTAAGACAAATAGAACCTGATCAAAACATGATTAGATTAATATCATTTAGCGAAACCTAAATACCGGTACAATATACAAAATAGGACAAATAACTAAAGTTTTGCTTAACTAGTGCCATGACTTCCATTTCAAATGCTATCTTGTGTTGCAAGAGCTTTTTCTCATATACAATCCAATCGAAACTCTGAGTTCTTTATTACATATTGCATGTGTGTATGGGTTGCAGTACAAAATGACATACAAATACTCAGAGTATTTTAGGGTTATCGATTTACATGGAAGTGAGGTATTAAACACAAGTTACTAATTCAATCACGAGAAGTTATTCCAAATGTCACGATATATGATTCAATATAATCAAGTAGCAGTAAAATAAAGACAAGGCAAGCAATATTGGAAATACAAGAAAATGAAAAACGGAATTTTTGGGAGTCATGTGTTTAATCATCTAATGCCAATGTAAAGTGAAATAATTAATTTGGTATTTAAAAAGTGTAAAAGACTGCATACAAATGAGAGAAATTACTCATATAATTCCTAACTCAAAATAATGTGAGTGAATATATTCATTCCTATGATATAATCACTCAAACAATAGTTCAATAAAATAACAAGCACTCAATATAAATTCGATCCTTAGCCTAATATGCACTCTCCCAAGGTGCAAGAGTTAAATGTAATTGTGGGTGCTATAATTTATGTCCTCTAACTCCTATCAAGATACAAATATAGCAATGAAACATGTAATTTGAAAACCCGTGAAATACATATATGTAAACACATTTTACTCAAAAATCCCAAAGAGCCCCCTCATTTCGAAAGATTGTTCTCAAACTGTCGATGCCCCCGGCCCCTTACTGCCGATAGTGAAACTTGATCTCAGATCATTATTTATAAACTTTACTCATGTGACAACTAAGTTGTCCATACTGACCATGACCTTACTTGACTAAATGACTAACATGTGGTTAACAAATTATGATTTATTATTATTGCACAATGTTAATATGGAGCGTTATGCTGTGCAACCGTGTGCACCATGCATGGTGCACACGGTTGCAAAATCGACGTCGTTCTGACGTCCAACTTTAAAAAAAAAAAAAATCAGTTTCGATTGTCGTTAACGGCGTTATGTTGTGCATAATTTGAATTATACATCCATAACTTCATAACTATAAATTTAGAATTGCATAATTACACATCCATAACTTCATAACTATACATTCAGAATTGCATAACTACACATCCATTAACTTCAAACTATATATTCAGAATTGCATAACTACACATCCATAACTTCATAACTATACATTCAGAATTGCATAACTACACATCCATAACTTCATAAATATACATTCAGAATTGCATGCATAACTACATATCCATAACTTCATAACTATACATTCAGAATGTGAAATTATAACTTCATCAAAATAGACAACTCTATTATAAAGTTAATTTTTTACTAATCTAACTGATCAACTCAGTTGGAATTACCCATGTAATGTCAACTTTTACAATTTCATAATTGCAAACATTGTGCCAATGATCTTGTGGTCTAGTAGGATGGATTGACTCTCTTAAATGAAAGGTTATGTGTTTGAGCCCTTGTAATGACATGATTGATTCTTTGTGCTTCAGCCTTCAGTATGTTGGTACTAAAACAAGAAAAAATAATTGCAAAATTTGTAATTTGCCTATTTAAAGGATGGAATTGGAACACAATATCATAAATGTTGATGGAACAATTAACCAAATTAAATTATCAATTATCAATAATCCATGCACTTAGACATTTTAGATAATGAAACATTATGGTTAGATGTAGAAACATTCTCGCACTTAATTCTTAGATTAATTAGAATGGCTACAAATTGCGCTGAATTAAATTGAAGTTTTCCGATCCACTTAATTGGTCAAATCTTTAAACATTAATATTATTATTATTATTACTAATTAATCCTATCACTAGCCTCTATGCTTCTTATTTTAATGAGATTTTTATTTGCACCATGTTTTATTAGTCTTCGTATTTATTTTATGAAAAACATGGTATCAGAGAGGTAGATTGAGTGAGTGGGTAGAGAGGCGACGCCGCCGGAAGAAGCGGAGTAGCCACCGAAGTTTTCACGCGCCTCCACGTGGTATCAGAGCCTAGTGGGCATTGATCGGCACAAGGAGGCGATGCTGCCGAAGGAAGCAGAGTAGCTAATGTGCCGCCGCAGTCCATGGCTGCCGGCGCGTGAGCACTATTCCGACAACTGCTCCGGTTGTATTTGTTCCGGTAGACTCGTCGGTATTTGAAAACCCAGTAGATCTGGAGTAGTGGTGTAGTTGCTTTGGCTGGGCTGTTTTTCTTTTGATTCGTATAAAAGAAGGTCAGCGACGGTGCGTAACAGCTCCGTTGGCTGCTCTGCTTCCTTTGACGGTGTTGCCTCCTTGCGCCGATCAATGCTCACTTGGCTCTGATACCACGTGGAGGCCGTGAGAACTCCGGTGGCTGCTTCGCTTCCTCCGACGACGTCGCCTCCCTACTTTGACCAAAGCCCACTACCCACTCACTCAATCTAGCTCTGATACCATGTTAAGTAATAGAACTCTCTATTTCTCTTACAACAATGAAATACAACACACACACACACACACACACACACACACACACACACACACACACACACACACACACACACACACACATATATATATATATATATATATATATATATATATATATATATCTGATGCGCGATGCGCAAAAATTAGGTGCCCAATATTAGTATTTTATATTAAGATTTTTAATATTTAAATAATTATAAATAATAATAATAATAATAATAATAATAATAATAATAATAATAATAATAATAATAATAATAATAGTGTAAACATTTTTATACATTTGATATTTATATTGTAGGAAATAACTCCAAATTATAATGTATAATTATTATTATTATTATTGAATAAGATAAGAAAATATATGGTGGATGCATGTGCATAGTAATAATAATGGAAAAGATAACGGAAGTTATAATGGTGGGGTATGTTTGTCCAAAATATTATAAAGTACAACTTTTATAGCATAATATATAAAAGAAAAAAACTTAACAAAAAAAACGGACATAAATAAAGCGTATAACTTTCATTCACATTTATTATGTTTTTAGATATACAAATAGAAATGACTTTTGACATCCCTAGTTTCCTACGGGTACCATCGTTCCAATTCAGTTTTTCTCATGATCTCTAACAAAAGAAAATTTACATGATTACATGTACGAGTTAACAATCAATCATCTTATTCCTTTGTGGCTATATCTTCTTTTTTTTTTCTTTTCTTATTATTATTATTATTATTATTATTATTATTATTATTATTTTTTTTTTTTGTAATGAGAAAATCTCGTAACTACCATGATTTCTATCTAATAGTGTATACAAGGTAAATCGACACACCTATGTAATAGCCAAACAACACAAAAAAGGTATATCGCACAAAAAAAAAAAAAAAAAAAAAAAAAACCTATAAAAATGTAAGACGGGCTCAACCAGGAGAGTGTATTCTGTTCATTGTTTAAAAATAAAATTTAAAAAAAAAAAAAAAATAACCACCATGGTCCGGTGGTTTTTCAGAAGTTAAACAGGGAGTTTATCATCGTCCTCCCACCTGTGTCTCTCAGACTCATGTCTTTACTCTTTACAGTTTGGAATCATTCCAACGTTAATCTCACTCCTGCTGCCTTGTTTTGCCTTTTTTGTGTCATCTACACAACCGCAGCCGCTATATTCAAATCCACCATTCATTTCCGGTATAGAGCAACACAATATCAACTGTCTTTGCCTGTAAAACTAAGAAAATATGCTGTGAGATACACACAATTTTGTTTCCAGGTCAAGAATCATTCAGGAATACTGCACATAAGCTGAACCGGCCCCTGGTGGGGGATGATGGAAGGGTTTACGCATGCGATTTCAGGTATAGAACAACACAATATCAACTGTTTTTGCCTGTAAAACTAAGAAAATATCTGTGAGATACACACAATTTTGTTTCCAGGTCAAGAATCATTCAAGAATGCCGTACATAAGCTGAACCAGCCCCTGGTGGGGGATGATGAAAGGGTCTACGCGTGCTCGGGGAGGAATTTCTTTGCCTTTGAAAGCAATGGTTCAATTGCGTGGAGCGTAGCGCTTAACTATACATGCAGTGCCAAGATTGCTGCTGGTTCAAGAAAGGCAAGGCTCTAGTTTATTCGAGTGTATATTTAGTGATCCAATGTTTTTTCAGGGGCATTTGTTTGCAGATATATGTGGTTGCAGAGGATAGAGTAAGAGCTTTATCTCATATACAATCCAATCAAAACTCAAGTTCAAAATGAACTATGGTATAAAAGATCTAGCATGATAAAATGATGAACTATTTAAAAAGCTATGGATGAGTTTCATAAACAATGTATACTGAGAAAGCCAACTATTATAAAAGATCAAGTTGACAAGAAGTCATGCAACACAAATCATGTAAAGGATCTATGAGATTATCTCATTCTATCGGCATGGAAAGAAAGCGTGGAAGATGATCTTGCAATCTACTTCAGAGTTCAGTTGGGAAAGGGCACTCCATGGTTGTACTGAGCCAGCTCCATTGCTTTCGAAGACAAAAATGGCTGAGGTCTTAAAAGGGGCTGATCCATCGAGCCAACTGCAACAAAATCTCGGGAACAAGCCGTCTTCTTGGAGGCGCTTTAGCGTCCTTGGCAAGAGATTCTTTGTCATCTGCGTGTATCAAGGCTACTACGTAGTCGAAGAGATCATCTTGGCCACCTCTAAGAGGATCCTGCACATAGAGATGACAAATGGTGTTTTACTGTTTTGCAAGGTTGAAAAAATCGCTAGGGGCCTGGCGTCTAGAGCTCCAAGGCGCCTGGTGTCTAGGGCTCCAAGGCGCCCGGTTTATTAAAAAAATTATTTAAACTCCCGCCTAGTCCACGGCGACCTACTCGGCGCTCGAGGTGCCCTGCCTAGAGGGCCTAGGCGGCCGACCTCCTAGAACGGCGATTTCGCCGAATTGCTGTTCTGCTACTAGTACTTCAAAGTAGGGCGACTATACTGGTAAATGTTCACTCGTGGGATCCAGGCGGTCCAGGAGGGACTACCACGGCTCCTCTTTGATGGTATGAATATAAACTAGGCAATCTGGTGGCTTAAATGGGCTGTTTTACAATACTGTACTTTATATTACAGTGAGAATTCAGAGACGGGAGGGTCTTAGTTCTGTATGTTCATTTAAAATACCTGCAAAAAGTAGACCGGAAAATGGAAGTAAAATATACGTACTTGAAGAAATAAATCCGTGTGGGTTTTCCCGTCATACAATATCACTTCAGCTCGAGCCCCCACTTGCAGAAGAGCATCTGCAAATGTTTTACTGCACAGAGGAAACAAGACAATATTTCAATTCACAAGTAATAACATGCATAAAACGGGACTAAGGTCTAAGAAATCAAGTGTCAAATGCGTGGGCGACATTCGTTCATAACAAAGAGGGACTATTTTGTAATTTGTAAACAAAATTAATGGTGCCAGCACTGCTCTTTAGATGCATACAGACCTTGCATCACACGGTATGGACCGATCATCAGTACCATGGAATAGGATAAAGTTAGGAAGCAATGAGAGTGCAGCTTTAGAACTCTGATCCTGGACCAACATTTCAGGGGAGAAGTTCTTCAAGGATTTTTCGCCTTCCATTATACTACAATAACATTTCAAAAACGTCAGTGGTACTGTGGAGCAAAAACACGAGATTTCACAGTATAAACTAATTCAATGTATTGCTGAGGGAGAGTATTTACAAACCTCATAAAAATAGAGCGATATAACCCTCTGCCATTAAAGTGGTCAACTAGGCTGGGTAAATGATACCTATCCACAAAAAATTACAGCATGCCATTAGGTTAACCAGTGTGATGCCAGGTGACAAAAAAAAAAAAAAAGGGCGGAGCAAGAGGGAGGTAATGACACAATAACATGCAAGACACCAGAGGAAATATAAAAAATGGAATGTATACAGACAGAGCCTCAATAATAATATTCATGCCCCTAAATGGAGAAGGGGGTGGGGGTGGGGGGGGGGGGGGGTAGAGAGAAGGCATATACTAGAACTATAATGGGATAGAAAACTTACCCCCCTGATGAACCAAAATACGCCTTTATGGTTGAAGCACTCCAAGAGACCGTTTCCCCTCTTGATTCTTTAATTGCCTGCTTCACAAGAGCACAGGAAGAAATATGTGCACCAGCAGATTGACCCATGAGATAAATCCTGCACAAATAAGGAATTATAATCAAGGGATACCTCATGGGAGCCTTTTACACCATTTAAACCTTTAAAATATCAGTATATCACCAAATATTTAATCCTTAGAGTCTCTCGTCAATGGAGGTTTATGCCATTTTCTACATGTTCTTTTTTTTTTTTGGGTGTAGCCTAGGGTTTCCACCGTCGGACACAGTAACTAATGCCCTCGCTGAATTCTAGGCACCTCTATTGGGTGGGACAACTGGCATGAAGATTGAAAGTTGCTCCATACCCAAAGCCATTTTCTACATGTTACAGCATGAGGAGTTACCTGTCTGGGTCACCACCGTATTCTGCAATATTGTTACAAATGAATGAGATCCCCTGAGAAACATCGTCCACCATATCACTGATTGTCCCTTGTGGAAAGTTTCTGAAACCAATACATGCATCAACAGCGTGAAAATGATGCAATTTACTGCTTACCTTAAATCCCTTAGTACACATGCACATACAGAGAAGGATCATACAATAATGTGTTATAGTCATGCCACTATCTACTTTGGAGAGAGAAACATGAAGTATCCTTTAATCACTTCTTCCCTAATCATGTGCCAAATTATAATGTAGATAAATACAGAGTATTCAGTAAAACTTATAAATTGAAACCTAACACACATATATGCAACAAGCTAAAATTGAATTGCAAGCAAAATGAACAAAGCCAAATATTAAGCTAGTAAATGCAAGGAGATGACAAGAAACAAGCCGAGGACATACATCTAAGTGACTAAGTAAGGATACATAACCATGGATTAAAATTTCCTACATCGAGTGTAATCTTACCTGTAATCAAGACATGCTACTATGATGTCCCGTTCAGCTAATTGTTTCCCCAAGAGAGAACCCCATGCTTTGTACCTACATAAACATAGAGTAGATAAATTATCCCTGATAAGCAAAGGACTACAGAATTGTATAGATGCTTATTTAAGATTAACTTTATCCAATATTTGACTTCACATCTATATGTCATAGATGTTTACAGCAGGAAGTGGTAATAGCACTCTAGAATATCCGCACCACCAAGGGAAGGGCAAGATGAGTACATATATGGTGGGTAGGGAATGGGGGTATAGGAAATCTTGCCAGACAGTGATGGCCTAATGAATCAAATTCAAACTTTCTTCAAAGGAAAGAAACGCTTCGTCATGATATGTATATGATATAGCACATGAAAAGGAAGAACCTTATTATCTACTAGATGCACTTAATAGGATCCAAAAGGAAGACAAGGATTCGGACTTTCTTACTCACCCAATAATCCATGCCCCACCAGTGACAAATACTACAACAGGCTTTGAACCATCTCTATTTGTTGGTAAATATAAATCCAATCTGCACCAAGATTCAGTTATGATCAAATATAAATATAAACTCGATAGGTGATCGGTTCGGATAATTTTAGTTATACTATATCCAGATATACATTTGGTTCAACCGTTTAAGGTTAAAATAATAAAATCTTACATATATTTAGATTTAATAAAAGTAAATTATATTTATTCCGTTTAAACCAAACATATCCAAAAAGATTTTAAATATAGGGTCTAAAAAATCACTTGAAATTAGACTTAAGTAAATTTTATAGCATTATAATCTAAAAATAAATAAATTTGGAAAATTGAGTATTAGTAAACAATTTTTCTAAACAATAAAACAAAGAATGAAAACTGAAGAACTAGAAAACAAAAAAAAACTGAAATAAACAGACCCCTACGAGTTTCACAATCCCATACCTATTTCTTGGTTGACTCCCATAAACAACACTTCTTCGGACTTGGGGTGAAAAGAAGTAATAAAATCCAACTGCCAAAAATGATGTAAAATTGATTATTGGTGGTAAAAGTATGGGAATTTAAAACGGAGATCACTTTATACATACCTTGAACAAAACCAGGCATAAGCAGCATAGCATATAAACCAAGAGCAAGAAGTCTTGTAATCCATCGATAGCCTACCCTGAAAAATGGTAGTGATTAAAAGCTGTCTTGAAAGAAAAGTAGCTAACAATGTAACATAGCTAAGCATTGAAACGATGCAACATGACAGATTGTGCACTGTGCACCACAGAGCAATTATACACTACCCTACTCATTAAATTCCTTGGCTAAAATTAGTAATTTAGCTAACACATTTTTTACAATTCTCATTAACATTCATTCAACACAGATCTGCTTTAGCTCAAAATTTCAAAAACTGATGCCAGTATAGTATAATCCACACCTGAAGGACTTTTTGTTTTAAATAATCATAAGTAATTCGGAACAATCTAATTATAGATCACTACAAATTCAAGAACATATATCTAATTGGTCTACAGGCTATAGTAACAAGCCGCAGCAATGATTTTTTGAAGGCCAATTTCCCAATAGCAATGCAGAATTTGAGAATTCCATAAAGCATTCAAGCAAGAAACACAAATGCCGTTGAGGATCAGTATTTTGAAATGCATATTGCCATCCAAATTCCAAAAGGAAAAAAAAAAAAAACAAAAAAAAACAAAAAAAAACAAAAAAAAAAACAAAAAAAAAACAAAAACAATGCACAAACAAAAAACACGCGACAGATCATTCTCAAATCCAGAAAGAAAAGTACCCGAGATAGCTAAGAAGCTTGAAACTAAGGCGAGTGATCAAATACGTCTCGGCGGCGGCATGGCCAAGGTCACGGCTGAAGGACGATTGGCGTTCGGGGCGGCACGGCGCAGACTTGGTCTTGGTGATAGTTTTGCGCCTCCTCTGATTGTTAGCCGAGGCGGGAAGGCTGGAAACCCTAGACAACAAAGGTTCATCATCGTCCATGTCTTCATCTCTCTGCTTCTTCAGCTCATTGACAAAAGAGCCCAAACTCGCCGGTCCCTGGCGCGCAGCCGTTGCCATTTCCGGCAAATTGAACGCTAAAACTCGCGAATTTAGCGCGATCCCAGATTCCGATTACAACAGATAAGGAGTGGGCGGGCGAGGCGGTTGAGGATTGAGATTAAATCGTCGTTCAAATTTCTAAATGATTGCAGTGTCGGAACCGAAAAACGGCTCTGTTTTTAAAGATTCTGCTTTTACCATACAGCCATGATGCCTGTTTCGATTTTCAGAGTATTTCTTTCCCAATTTAAATACAACTGAAATACATAATAACCAAATTTAGAAATACATTCATTTTCTCTAACAAATATACTCCATCAATTATTTACAATGGGAATTTGTAGCCTCCTTTTGTACATTTTGCATCAACTTACATTTTTGTTTATATATATTTTATATTTTTTAGAGTGAGAAGAAATTCGTAGTTACCATTCCAGTATATATATCGATAAATTTCGCTCCTCTTTATATGTTCACAAATCACATGATATATAAATTGTATTAAATGCTCACAAACCACATGATATATAAATTGTATTAAAAAGACTTGGTGCAACCGATCCAACGGAGAGATTAAGAGGGTGTTAATAAAAATTTAATTTGTGATATTCTAATACAATAATCATACTCCTAAAGAGTGTATAAATTTATATTTTTATTCATATTTTAATGTTGTTTAAATTTGCATAAACTTATGATGTTTATAAAATGAAATAATTAATACTTGGACAATTTTAATTAATTAATTTTTTTTTTTACTTTTAGTAATATGAGTATTGTATAGAGTATATCTCTTCATTTAATCATTAATTATAAAAGTTTTCACGTTTGGAACATGACTATCAAATTATTCATGTGATTCTTTTCATAAATTCCTCCATCAACTTTAGCTGAAATTATTTACATCACACTCATGTGAGTTATTTAAATCTAATTAGCATATAGATGGCACAATAGTGCATAGTAACATTGGGGTTAATTTTGATTAGAGCTGTCAAAGCGGGTTAGTAGTGCTCATTTACAGTGATGAAATGCAGAAGTATTTAAGAAATGTAAATGAATAATATCATACATGTAGTATATCTATACAAATACTTCATATTAAATTAATGTAGGGAAATCATTGTGATCCATTCATATTTTGTCCCAAAAAAGAATATGCGGCGGAGACTTGGACAGATAAGGGAGTAAGTACTAGGACAGTCCAGATGGTAGCAGAAGCAAGTTGGTATTTGTAGTGGGAGAGCCAGCAATGGAAAATGACAATACTAATGTGACGTGTAACGATTTCTTAACAGACTTGACAAGGCGTGATTGTACTTTTGTCCAAGGTTTTTTGTGTCAAATCATGTCTTAAAATGATAATATGATTTGCATACAAATAAGGTAGAAAAAGAAAATATTATATGTACTCTCACTTTATACTCTCAATTTTTATTCTCACATACAAAATTTTAATGTAGACATTTGTATGAGACCCACATAAAAAAATTAACTTATCAAAGCCCACCACATCAGGGAGAGTATGATTTGAGAGTACATATAGTAGAACTCGGGTAGAAAATATGATCAAATAAACTTTATAAATAAATTAAACAAAAAACATAATTGGACCTCTAAAATGGAAAAAGTTTTCATAACATACAAATAATAAATAAAACATCTGCCAAAGACAAAATTTTATTAGGGAGTATGATATTTTGTTACTTAGGATTTCAATCTTAAATTATCTATCCAGAAAGTTATACCCATAACAAAAAGTGTATGCAGTACACTCTGTGCACCATAGAAAAGTTCATTAAAGAAGAGAGCATATATCCTTCTCACCAATTCACTGGTGCTAAGATGCTAACCCACCTCAAATTATCTGATGCCTGGAGCATATATCAACACACTGCAGTTAATGTTTGTTGGAGATGCTTTCTTTCACCTTAACCACCACTTCTGTGCAGCAGAAATAGGTGTGTTCAAGAACGGGGCGTATTTTTGGACGAGAGGATTGATGAGCCTCCCAATCTTTGTCCATGCACTCTGATGGTAACCAGCAGTTGCTGGTGCATGGTACATGAGCTTTAGTAGCTGCAAAAGTATAGGTTCAATACACGTTAAGAATATCGAGATTTGTATGACATGACAATATCACTACCAGTTACAGACTCAAGATCCAAATTGCCGGGGGCAGCCCCAGCCAAGTTGGTCGGGTCGTTGGCTTGGTAACCACAAGGTTTCAAGTTCAACTCCCAGTGAGAGCGGCCTATTGGCCTTCTTGGTTTGAACCGGTCAGCTATGGGCAACCTAGGCTGGTTTACTTTCTTGTAGTCCTTTGCTGGCTAGGGCCACAAGGTGAGGTTTACCTAGTGCACATCCTCAGATAGTGGCTGTGGGTTTCCCTCGTCACCCAAAAAAAAAAGATCCAAATTACCCTGCCAAATCTTTATACAGTTCACAGGGTGCCATCTCAACAGGTCAGAGAAACTATCTCTGTTGAGAAGAGTTCCTGTTATGAAATGAACACAACCTGCTTGCCTCTTACATATCAGTGCCATGCCGGTAGCTTCTTGATTATAATTATATTTTGATTGTTGGGGGAGGGGGGGTTGGGTGGTTGATGGAAAGCAAAACAATTTTCATATCACGAATAATGCACACACCTGCCAGTACATGAATGTCTGTATTATGTTGCGCTGCCACCTGCATTTTGATAATAAAAGAAAATGAAATTTATAAAGTTAAATGGAAACAAAAGGTGAGGTGATAAGAGATCATAAGGGAAATAGAGACAGAGACTGACGAGAAAAGAGAGATAATCAAAAGGAACCCAATTCCAATCTCAGCTTGTGAAGTCAGTATCTTAAGCGTACTTGCATTTGACTCAACCCATACACATGCATCATCAAAGTACCTCCTGCACAATCAGGATTGTCCATTCTTCACTTAGATCTCAAAATTCAGGTGAATCATAGCCAAGTATTACTATAAATAATAGTAACAATTGTCTAAAATCTCAATATAAGATCAAATGTATATTTGATGCTTCAACTTAGAAAATGTTTCAACCTAGCTGCCTTTATACAATTATTAGAAAGAAAATTTCTGATTTTCACCCAAAGGTAAACAATTCACCGTAAGCCTTGCCTGTATAAAGAGGTTCTGCTAAAGTTACGCCTAAGGAACTTTGCGATATGCTCAAGTTCTTGGCATAAAATTGGAATCAAAGCAACTGCAACAGAGTTGAGTAAAGATTATGTGAACGAAGGTGCACAGCTAAAGTTTAAGCAGAAAAGAAGAATAAGATAACAGAAGTTCAGTGACACTCACATTTGAGGTAAAGATGTGAAGTGACAAAGGTAAGACAGTATATAAAGTAGATAAAATACTTTGCCACAACCACTGACTGCAACCACACTTGCAATGCTTGCATATTCCATGCCCTGGGTTTCTGCAGAGAACAATGAGTTATTCATTAGCCTCTTCTGAATTAGACACATACTGAGTTAAGGAACTAAAATGGTAAAAAATTAAAATTAGAATTTACCCCATGTGCTGTATATAAAGAATATAGGGCCGAACATGTTGTTCCGATAAAGGAAAGTCTATATGCCCTGTTTGACAGATTTGTAGGAATGAGGGGAAAGATTGCAAGTATTGTCATAACAAAGACCTGCAAAGGGGGGAGGGAGAAGAAAACTTTGATGTTAACCAATGGGCAAATGGACAATCGTCTTTCCACGTTATAAGACTCTTTTTCAACCAGCTAAATGAATTCAAATTTTGTGTATAGAGACAAACATAAAAGCAGTATAGGCAACCATATTTTCTCATTGTACACATATAATAAAATTTATATGCAGCATCTGCATCTCATTTTCAAGATATCAAATTCCAACAACTTCAGAAGAACCCACAAATCAGAATACAAATTACAAAGCTTGATCCATGTGTTCAAAACTTCTAAGACTTCCATGGTTGATCCGTTGATTTTTATTAATAAGAGGTAGAGCCACAGATTAAATCAGACATAATAAGTACCAAATGGAAAGAAGATTAATAAATGGTGGTTGCCTGTCTCCTTAGTATTACTGGGTGGTATGCACTAAAGATTGTTTTTTTTTTTAACTGGTAAAAAATATAGCCTTTAAATGCTTATTTGTCTGGGAAGGATTTGCCATACCCAAGCGTTGACAGAAAATTGTACAGTTTGCCTATCCCAGCGCAAAGAAGTTGGATTTGAAGCTGGAGTTGTTGAATCAGTTGATGTCCGAGATGTCCTTCCAGATGACTCTAAAATGAATAGTAGTTGGATTAAAAATGAAAAGTACAATTACTAAAGAAAAGAAAAAAAAAAAAAAAAAAAAGGAATTGCTGACTTCTGAGAAAGACCCCAATCCCGTTTAAATATTTCACAGTTAACTGAAAACCAGATTAATACCTGAGGTATGTGCTCGTGACTGGCCATTTGAAGTTGATGAAGATGATGTCTGTGGAGCAGATGGTTTTGCTTGCTGAGAAGATCTGCTAGGTGCCATTGGCTCAACCACCAGATCTGGATCCTACAAAACCCAACAAAACCAATTAAACTACAGAGCAATCCCTCCCAGTTGATACATTGGAGGTAGCCAATGTATCACTCCAACTACCTAGCACGAGTCCAAAACCTGTTCCACCAATCACTACTAATATATGCTGGGAGTCAAGCTGCTAAAGGTAACTAAGCAAACACAGTAAGATTATGTTATATGTAGCTCCACTCAAAAAATGAATGCAAGGAAAACAGAAAATGCTGCAAAGAAGTCATTGACTGATCATTGTTTCTTTTTCTTTCAAAACTTTCAGCCTCCAAAAGAACTCATAAAAAAAGTGATCTTTTTTAGATAAGAATGGTTCCAGATGCTGGTAATTGGTCAAACATCAGTGAATGCAAAGCTCCTATCCTCTCTCCCCCTCTTTTCCCAGCTCCCACTTCCCAGGATAGATTGAAATACCAAAGGAAAGCTTAGAATAATAGAACGCAGCTTTTGAACAGCAAATATGCATGCTAGGTCTGCTCCAAGAGTGAAAATATCCATTTTCAATTGCCCACAAAAGGGGAAATTCTCTCGCCCCACCCCGCCCCCCACCTCGACCAAGTGGAGGATAAATCATGGTGACTGTGCAGCCCATAATGGGGGCCTAGTGCCTACAAGGAGGCCACCACATTGAATGTAACTCCCACACTGGGACTGCCTAGCTCGATTATGTGTCCTGGCTGAC